GGGCGGGGTGGTGGGGTGTCACGCACCAGGGGTCGCAGGGGCAGAACTGAGTACGTGGGGCAGGACGCGGAGTTTGGGGGGTGTCCTTGGGGTGCGGGGACCGGCTGAGCCAACGCCCCCGGTGCCCCGAGAGTGAGTCCTCACTGCGTGCTCAGCGCCCCCGGTGCGCCCGCGAAGCTGGACCCCAGACTCCAGAGACCTGATTGTACCCCCGCAACGCCCCCCCCCCACGTGAGGTGGGGCGACGACACTACCGATGTTCCCATTTCACAGAACCGAAAACCGGGGTGCCTGCGGGTGGACAAACTTCCCTAGGTCCCGAGAAGGAATTGGTGGTGAGCGCAGCCAAGGGCACCCCAGGGCGGATGGTCACCGTCAGCTCCTCTCAGGGGTGGGACTTAAGTTGAATCCTCAGATGTCCCCCTGTGCTGAGGAGGAGCCTCTCCCGGCCCCCCCCCCCCCAGAGTTGTGTAGTTTGTCGGTGTGGTGGCTTAGGTGTGCTGGAGCAGCTGGGAACGGGGGTGGGGCGGTCTACAGGGGGTGCCTCCGCCCCCACCCCACTCTAGCCTGGCGGAGAAGTGGGCGCGAAATGGAGAGCACTCCCACCCCCTGGGTCGTGGCGGCAGAACGTGTCGCCTGGCAGCCTGGCCCTAGAGGTGCAGGCAAGGAGCTGCTTTCTGAAGGCTCACCTCCATGAATGACCCAGCCTACCTGCCCCCTGCAAGGTTCACTGACCTGAGGACCAGACGCCCCATTCTCCCTTTGAAAAGTGAGAGCGGGACAGGGGGCACTCAATTCTCTTTGTCCTTAACCTTCCAGACTTAACCACCTTCCTATTTGGGGAGGGGGGGTTCTCCTTCTAGACCTTTCTCTACATGTTTGCAGTCATCTGTACACATACCCATAAGAAATATGTCAAAGACAGTACTGTTGTAGGTGGGTGTGTAACAAAAATGGTTTGCTTCATTCCAGGGGTGGATTACTCAATAAGTAAGGTCGAACGGCTTACGTATAAACACAAGTCAGCCGTGCTTACCTTGCTCAATGGGTAATGCACCGCCAATCAGTTCAGACCATTCTTAAACTTGTCCCCATGTCCCTGTCATTTCTGTGTGCATTATCCGTGTGGCCCTGTAGAAACCTAACCTAATCCTTTTAACTGCCGCGTAGTTCTCCACTCTGTCATTGTCGCCTGTGTCCTTGAGTCAATTCTGGCTCATGAAACGCTGCCCAGGCCTGCGCCTGCGACATCCTCACAGTCTGCTTGGTTTGAACCCACTGTGGTTGGTCCACCTCCTGGAGGGTCTTCCTTTCTATCCCGCTGACCCTCAAATAGGACGTGCTTACTGGAAACACAGGGAATCCAGGATAGATGACTCCTTCAGGACCAGTGGTGAGAGGGGCGATGCCTGGAGGGTGAAGGGAATGTGGGGCAGAAGGGGGGAACCAATTACAAGAATCTAAGTATTGCCTCCTCCCTGGGGGATGGACAGCAGAGAAGAGGGTGGAGGGAGACATCGGACAGGGTAACTTAGGACAAAACTATAATAATTTATGAACTATGAAGGGTTCATGAGGGGGGTGAGTGGGGAGGGAGGGGGAAAATGAGCAACTGATATTAGGGGCTAGAGTTGGAGGCAAATGTTTTGAGAATGATGAGGGCAACAAATGTGCATATGTGCTTGACACAATGGATGTATGTACGGATTGTGATGAGAATTGTACTAGCCCCCAACAAAATAATTTTAAAAAAAATAGGATGTGCTTTTCAAGGGATGGCTCCTGGTAGCAACACATCCGACGTTCAGGAGCCCAAGTCTCCCATCTTCACGCCAGGAGAATCCTGCCTGTATTTCTTTAAAGACATCTGTTCATGCTTCTGGCAGTCCACGGTACAGTTCATATTCTTCTCCAACACCATCATTCAAACGCGTCCACCCTTCTCCAGTCCGCTTATTCAGTGTCCAACTTTCACATGCACACCAGGTCTTTCAAAATATCAGGGTTGGGTCAGGCACCCCTAAGTCCTCAACCTGACATCTTTGTATGTAAGGAGGTTCTTTGCAACAGATATTCCCAGTGGGATACATGGTAACCTTTGATGTGCATCAGTCAGTGCTTCCAGTCTCCTTGGCTCTCAGCAATCAAGGCTGGGTCATCCGGGTATCAGATGTAGGTAATGAGTCTTCCCTCAATCCCAATGCTTCCTTCTTCATGCTTCTCGGAGCATTTGCTCAGCATGCAGATTGAATAAGTATGGTGAAAGAATGCAGACTTGACTTTCCTGACCAATGGCCCCTTGCTCTGTTTCCACTCTGGTTATGCCCACTGATGGGCAGTTAGGTTGCTAAGTTTCTGTGGAGTGGTTTTGATTTCATCCTCCTCGGTAATGGACAGCTAGCTCAGGGTTGGTTTGTCTGAAACTTCTAGAGTCTAAATTTGAAAGATAAGGCTCCCCAGGAGAACCCATCACAAGGTTGGTTATATAGCCACCCCCCTGAAGGGGATGAATAGAAGAGATGTGAGTGAGGGGAGACAGCAGACAATGTAAGATAGGAAATAATAATAACAATATATAATGGATCAAGGATTCATGAGGGTGGGAGGGTGGGGGACAGAGGGGGAAAGGAAGGAGTTTATACCAAGGGCTCAAGTAGAAAGAGAGTGTTTTGGAAATGATGATGGCAACGTATGTACAAATATGCTTGATACAATTGATCTATAGAGTGTTATAAGAGCTGGGGGCTCTTAAGCCCCCAATAAAATATTTTTTTAAGAATACTATTAATATCACTAAATTATACACATAAGAAAAATGATAAGGCTCCCCATTCCCATTACACCTGCATATATGTTCATGTACACACACACACACACACACACAAGAATTGGCACCTGTACATGTATGTGCACATGTGCATACATGTACACATCCATTCACTGGCACCTGCACAGGTAAACATATATACACATGGATATGCAAATACACACATACACATACACACAGAGTAATATACATACACATGTACTTGCATGTGCACACACTCCTCTGTCCTATCTGTGGACAGAGGACAAACACCACACCTCTTATGGCTCCAGTCTCTCCTGGTCCCAAATGCCTGGGTCACAACCAGGCTGCCACCTCTGCCTGTGTAGATCCCAGTGGGCAGAGGTTCTCTCTAGATTCCAGCTGGCCCTTTTTCCCTCCAGAGGGAGTAAAGAACCACATGCTTACAGGCTGGAGTATCCAGGGCCCTCTTTGGATCCCCCATACTTTCAAGTCCAGGCCTTGACTTAGGCAAGTGGGTTTGCCCTAGAGGGCACTACAGGGTCATGAAGAGTTAGTGAAATGCCTGGCAGCAAGCCAGCCAGGCTGCTGAAACAATGTGGGTGCTGGAATCAGAGATGCTTGCATCCCAGGCCCAGCCCCACCACTCCTAGCTCAGGCAAGCCACTTCCCTCTCCAAGCCACAGTGCTCACATTTGTAAAAAGCGATGGTGAGAAGACCTGCCTCTCAGGGCTGGCAAGCAGATTCAATGGGATGGTACAGACAGTTCCCTTAGGACCTCCTCAGCACTTAGAAAGCTGGGCAGGAGTGACACACAGAGCAACCACTTGGGTCCCTAACATTCAGACCAGTGCAAATCCTAAGAGCTGGATGGGAGGGGAGGTTTTGCTGTCTGCTTAGTGAGGACACAGCCCAGCTCACGGTGGAGTCCAGAAAAGGCCTACTGTATCCCTGGCACTGAGCTAAGCTCCGAAGATGCAGATGCTCTGAGCCAAGGTCCCACCCTGAGATAGGGGAGATGGGAGGAGACCTCCAAGTCGGCCTGTGGGCAGCTTTTGTGATGCCCTTGACAAAAACAAAACCCACTGCCATCGAGTCAATTCCAACTCATAGGACCCTATAAAGGATTTGGGGGGCTGTAAATCTTTCTAAGAGCAGACAGCTTCGTCTTTCTCTTGGAGAATTTCTGATGACTTTGAATAGTAGCTCGCAGCCCGATGCCTCATACATAATGCCACCAGGGGTCCTTGGTATGAGTTAGGCTCTCTGTAACTCTGAGTGATTATTTTTCCTACCACAATGAGGCCTGATTTCCTCTGGACTCTCCCAGTTCAGATGGTGGAGACGAGAGACTGAATGAGCTAGGGCAGTGAGTCTCAAAGCAAAATCCCCAAATTAGCAGCCCAGATGTTACCTAGGAGCTGGTTAGAAATACACCTCCTCTGAACCTCAGAAGACATGTCCAATGAGAGACTGAGCACCAGGCCCAGGAGTCTGTGTGTGAATCTCTGCCCACTGGGATCTGCATAAGAGAACTGGTGGCCTGGTTGTGACCCAGGCCTTTGGGATCAGGAGAGACTGGAGCCATAAGAGGTGTGGTGTTTGCCCTCTGTCCACAGACAGGACAGACGGGTGTGTGCACACATGTGTGTACATGCAAGTACACTCGCCTGTATATTCCTATGTGTGTATGTGTGTATGTGTGTGCGTATGCCCATGTATATATTTTATATGGTTCAAAATAAAGTGGCAATGATTGTCTCTGTCACTGGTGAGATCATTGGGTCATAGTGCTGGTGAAGGTGTTCATGCTGCCAGGGAGCACCAGTTGGTACAGCAGATGTGGGAATTTGGCAAAACTAGCCAATATTTATGACTCTGCACTGTAGGCTCTAGGAGTTGACCCAATTCATATCTCAGCACTTGGATGCAGCATGCTACAAAAAGCATATTCAGCACTGTTCGTAAGAGCAAACAGGCTAAATGTCCATCAAAAAAGAACAATTAGTTCTGACAATGGCCCTGCTTGATACTCGCCCTCAGGAAGGGAACACAGAAGATACAGGTGCTAGAGCAAAATGAGGCAAAGAATTTAGAGGCTGCCTGGCTATCAGATAAAATAGTATCTTGGGTCTTCAAGACTTATCTCCAAACAAGCAGCCCTCTAAGTGAGACGTCAACTAAGTCCACCAGGAAGAAGCACAGCATCATCAGTCACTGAAGGACTGGTGTCCATAGAATCCGAAGTCCAAGGAGGGATCAATCAGTATCAGAGCCTAAATTGTGAGAATCCGGTGTGCAGAAGGCAATGGAGGATAGTGGGAGCCCAAGATTCATTTGTGGGACTACTTAGGAATTAAATTCCTTGAGAAGTCCCCCTATCTAAAATTGAGGGAAGGGAGGAAAGTGCTCCCTAAACGGAGTGCTTGGGAGAGCGGCGTACAGAAGAGCAAAGGCATAAATCTGACCTGAACAGTTAGAACTTGGTCAGTAGATTTCCCCCTATGAGACAGGCTGAACCTGATCTGGCTTCCAAAATTTTTCTGTATTTTTGGTTTGTATTGTTTTCTTCGATTTTTCTTTCTTCCTATTAGAGTGTATCTCAGAGGTGTTATGTTTTGCAGCTGTGTTAGATGCTTTTCCGTTTTTTGGTCTATGAAACCCAGGGTCGATGAACCCACCGGGACAGCAAGCAGAATAAGGGGAGGAGGGTGCAGAGGTGGAGGTGGGGTAGAAGGGAGACGATGCCAAGAAGTCCACATAGAACACGAAGGTTTGAAAACTGTGGTAACAATTGCACATTCACTTGACATGACTGAAATTTAGAATGATATGATAGATGTATTGAGTCCCAACTACTACTTTGTAAAGGCACTTACAAGTCCTGGTTTGGCGTCACGGTGAGTCAGAATGCACTCCACAGCAGTGAGTATAGTTTTTTGGTGGTGGTGGTGGTAAATGTTGGAACAACCCCACGGGC